AATAAATTGGAAAGAAAAAAATGTATACAAAATGTAGTTCTAATACCATAAAATGACATATTTAAGTTTTCCACATGATATTTGACTATGTGCTTGTCAGCCTTAAGATGAGATCCATCCAAATACTGGATCGAGTGTAAGAAACCATGATGAAATGAAACATTTTGGTATCTACGGATATGACTGAAAATATTTATCTGAATATATTTTGATTTTGTTGCACTGTGGCTTTGAAGTATGCAACAGTTCAGGCGTGAAAGATGACAGATGTGTCCCTTCCCCCTATGCCCTGTATGTTCATGTATTATCTAACTAATGTCCTCTTTTGCTCTTTCAAGATTCAGGCTATTTACTACAATAAAGTTCTGCTCCTGAGAGATGTACAAATACAATGTTAAGTCTAAACTATAAAGCTTTCCTGCCATTACACATTTTAACAGCTAGAGATATTTAACTTTTCCCTTTAACTAATTTTTGCTTACATTTCATTCTATCTAATGAGAAGTTGGCCCATTTGTTTTCACTTCTTTAATTCTGATTAGATTTTTAGAAAGGCAGGGTTAATATGTCCATTTCTTATTGCAGACTTTGTTTTTTGCAAAAGTCAGAGCAATGCAGCAGGCAGGAGGGATCATAATGAGAGAAAAACACTTAAATGCAAAATAAATACAAACTTACAACTTAAAGTGAAGAAGAATGCTTAGAAACAACAATAGGAACCTAAATCAAAAAAGTAAAATTAGAGAAGGATGGGACAATCTAATGAGACTGAATGAACCTGGAGGAAGATCTACAAGATTGTTAAGATGAGAAGAAGATGAAGTGAGTCTGAATTACTAAATATGGAATGTAGCAAAGCTATGGGGGTGCAAAAACTGGGAGAATTTAAAAAATTTAAAAATAAGACACCACAGCTATAAATCAAGACTAAACCAGCAATACTTAATACCTCAGTATCTTTGCTCTCTCTATTCAGAATCAAAATACCTATCAAGGCCTATATATATATGAAGTAATAAAACAGAAAAACAAAAGATTTCGTGCAGCTGGCAAGGAAGTTGACCCAGAGGGGCAGTTGAAGGCGGAAGACTGGAAGCCATCCTAAAGAGAAGCAGAGTTCAAACAAGCGACTCAGTGGCTGCTCTGACCATCAGCAGGGCTCTGGAGGATGACCTGAAGGCAACATTATCTGATGTGGAGACTCAAAAGTCCAGTCTCAATGCCATAGTTACCGCCAAAGAGACTGTGAAGGACAATGACGCTGTCACATAGACCGGCAGTCAAGCTCTGGAGGTCTACCTGGTGGAGGTAATTTGATTCAAATAAGACAGTATAAAAGAAAGCCAGGGGCAAGTTGTATATAGTGGACAAGATTTATCTAATTACCTAAGTTAAATAAAAAAAAAATAATGGAGGACCTATAACTGAAAACAGAAATAGTACAGAAAACAACCACCATACATATTTCCACAAAACCTCTCATGACATGACTTCATCTTCATCTAATTTAAGATTACATTTTTTAAAGGGTTTTGAGTAAAAACAAATTAGTCTTCATATAAAAAATATTTTACACTTTTTGGCTGTTTTTGCACATTGATTATACAAAATAATTTTTCAGCAAATTACTTCTTGGCCTTCCTGCCTTTTACACATATGCTAAAACATTATCAGTTTATGGGCACCAAAATGAACCTGGCTCCTGGCAGCAATTAAAACGGTATTAATTGGAAAATATATTTATTGTATCACTGATTTATTTTTCCTCTGGCTAATTTGGGTTGAATTCACGGTCAGGTTTTTTTTAACCATAACACTGCAGATCTCTTGAATGTCCAGATTTCCTTTTAATTCACTTCTTTGTACCAACATAGCATTAGGATGTATACAGTTTATTTTAGATCTGTTTTAATACTTTTTTTAATACAATGCTAAAATGCCTCTGATAATATTACTCACAATACTAAGTGTAAGTTACTTATAATAATGTCAGTACAGCAACCGTATTATCTGCTTTTCAATATCTTCGAATGGTAACAATGTTTCATGTCTATTACAAATTGAGAGCTCACAGAAATTCCAGTTTAGTTCTCCCTGCAGATCATTTGATGATAACAAAGCCTTTTAAGGTGATGACATAAGGCCTTTGCTTACATCTTTATAGTTACTTCCAGTTAGTTGAAGAGTAGTGGCATCAGCTTATACTCCATTTCTATCAGTGGCTTGCAGCCAAAATAAATATTTAATCTGGTTGATAAAGACATAAATGCAGTGCATTCATTTGGCCTTCTGGGAGCATCCAGCTGGAAGAGCCTGAAATCTAAACTCTGCATTTAGGTATCAAGTTCAAAAAGTGATGACACATTTGCTGATCAGAGGAAAAAGCACCCAAACCACTTTATTTTTTTTTTCAAATAAAACACATATTAATCCAGTCTTGCTATTATTTGTTTATTATATTTATTTACATTTTTGTGAACTACTGTGAAAAATCTTTAATTGTTCTAGCTTGTATATATTTTAGTCTGTTTAAATAAATTTGTGTCATTTCCACAGGGCTACTTCCTCTAATTGAAGAATGTGACCAGCAGGTGTTTCCTCACAGCTGGAGCTCATCAATCCCACTCTGAGGGAGCTTAAAGAGGAGCGGAGTCCTGAAAGTAGATGCCAGATTGATTTATTCCACTAGCATAATCAGACCTAAAACTGCTAAACTCTTGCATTTCTTGATGTTCTATGCACTGTTGCTCACGTGCATGTTCACCTGCCCTCACTCATCAGCCTATGATTCTCCGCCTGGGGGAAAAAATAAGGAAATCATTAACAAAAAGCACCAATCACCACCACCTGCAAATCTCTGTCTCTGTGGATATACTTACATTCCTCTTTTGAAGCTCCACCATCACCCACAGTTACCTACATATCTCTTCTGCTTGACTAACAAATTACCTTTACTTCCTCAGTGCCATCTTCCACTATTCATTAATATGTATTAATATACTTTTCAAATCCATCTTTGGTGTTCATAACCGCTGCCTGCAGTGAGGTCAAATACTTAACCAACTTGAATTCCCTACATTTCCACAGTATTCTAAGTGCCAATCTATTCCCTTTTATCAAAAAGCATATATGATGGAAGATATGCAAGCTTTGCCTCATTGATTTAGCAAAGTTTTCCATTGCCCTTGAAGTTGTTTTTTTAACATTTTGTCATCTTGCACCCACAGACAGCAATGCATTTTATTTAGATTTTATGTGGCAGAAGGAGTAGATGATTTCCAAATGAAGGGAAACTGTTTATGATTTTAACAATTTTGTAAAGAATCATTTTGACTAGATCAAAAGGGCGCAATAATATCTGCTTTGTAAAGTAAACACAATATCACAAACCTAGAGGCCAACTCTCCATTTTTCAAGATCTATTTTGTTTTATCCTTTCTTATTTATTATTAGTCCAATGAAACTTTAAATTTAAATATTTTGATTGAAGAAATTTGGTCAAAGGTTAACCTTTCTTGTCCAATACAGTTTTAAGTATTTTTAATACACTAGGATACAGTAATATGTAATTAGTCTCTCTGTTACTGCTGAGGAAAGCATACACACAACATGATGTTGTCACCACCATGTTTCGCCATTGGCATGGTGTTTTCAGGGTAATTTGGAGTATTTGTTTTTAGCCAATTATCTCACTTTACAATTACTGTGGATCTAAAAGTATTATTTTGTCTCCTTGTACTAGACGCTTGCTTCCCATTACTTTCTGTTATCAGAATAAATAAATAAAACTAAAGCTCTCTTTAGGTTGTGACATATTTTAGTGTTAACAACTAATAGTTGTGCTGTCAATGAATAAAAACTGCTCAAAGATTGATTGCACCACCAGAATGTCTGCGGCTCCCAAAGATCTAAGATGAGGCAATTGGCTCATTCTCTAATTAAAGCTCTACTGATTGGGCCATTTATTTTATATGGATAGTAATATGTGATATGTGTACAACTGTGATATGGTCTTTCTTTTTCCAGATAATAGATTGAAAAGTGCTATGTCAGATGGTCAAAGTCTTACATATTATTTTAAAACCTAACGCTGCTGTAAACTGCTCCACAATTTTATCCCTGACCTATCTGATTTGTGCCATTAATAATGCTTTGTGCTTAACATTAGGTTGTTTCGCAATATTTTAAGTTTTATATGAAAGCTGAAATTTGTCTGTTTAATTTTCCTAATGTCAAATATTAGTCTGTTTGCTATTACTTCCTTAAAATTATTTCAGATCTGTCTATATTTGATCATATTTTTTCCTAGAATTTTAAGGGAACCCGTACCATGTAAAGAAACAAAGTATTAGTGTAAGTGAACACGCATGGCTATAAAAATAACAATGTAAACCAAGTTCTGACTCTGTGCCTAATTCTGTGTGGTAAAAATAAATAAGAGATGCACATTCACATTATGTGAGTATGGTTATGTAATCCAACCACCTACCCAGAGCAATCAATAAGATACGGCTCTAATTTAAATACTGAGGAGTTCTAAAACTACCAGCTAAATTAAAGTATAGGATAAAAGATTAGTGTAAAACGCTTATTCTGAAGGGACTAGTGGACAAAATAATTTTAAAGTTAACTGTTAACCGTGTATTTAAACTGAAATTGATTCAAACTAGTCAAAATTATTTTTAGATTTCACTCCAGTGGTACATTTTGGCAATGAAAATCTAAAAGTGTTTTTTTTTTTTTTTTAAACAAAACGAGGAAAAAAATATTTACTATATATATATATATATATATATATATATATATATATATATATATATATATATATATATATATATATATATATATATATATATATATATATATATATATATATATATATATATATATATATATACACTTGGGAAACGATCGATTGAATATATCGTTGACGTTTTTACAAAAGCTAGGTCAAAGACTCCATTTCCCACAATGCACCTGTTCACGCTCGTCGTCAGTTAAAAGCGTGAGTTAAAAACGCGGAAACAAAAGAACTAATCAGTTTTTCAAAACAAGCACCGAGTCGGCATAAAGTGAGCCTCGTCGTGGGTGACAGCTGTTAGAGTTTACATCGTAGCTTCTTATAACCCACTCAGAAAGCCTCAGCATGGCTTTGAAGAGGATACAGAAGGTAAGAACAGCGTTTTTAAAATTTGTTGATTGTTCCCGACAGGATGAAGCTATGCGGCGGAAACGCCTATGTAACGTTAGCATTTTGTTTGGTAGCCTTTTCTGGGAGCTGTTAGTATGACTTTGATTTTCCAGAGTTTTTACTTTCTTTATGTTATCACTGTAAGTAGTTTTTGAAGCACTGGAACTTTTGATCAATTTGTATGTTTAAAAATCATTTCCTGTTAATCTCACAGAGCCGTATCTGACATTAGGAACAAACGTAATGATTTAAGATGTTTACTATCTTAATTGTAACAAGCTAATATTTATTGAAAGTATTTTGGACTAATGGTTAACAATACTATGAAAACAAAAATGTCAGCAATATTTAATTGTGGTTTCTATGTAGAATTGTCTTCCTCATATTGTTATATTAGTGAATATTTCCATAGGATGCACAGTCATCATTATTGTTGTTAAGGTGGGCAAAATGTTGATTTTATTTATTTATTTTTTCCCCAGGAGTTAAATGACTTGCAGAGAGACCCCCCAGCTTCATGTTCAGCTGGACCTGTAGGGGAAGACAGTAAGTTGGGCATCTAATTTGTCCTTTTCTGTTCCTTTTTTTTCCTATTTTAATTTTTTTAACTTGTGACTGAGATGCTTCCAGTATTAATCATCTAACCTGATCTTTCTTTACTTTTTTTTTTTCCTTAAGTGTTTCACTGGCAGGCCACCATCACAGGACCAGTAAGTTTTTGTTTTTTGTGTGTGTCTTTTTTTCTGTTGGATTCTGGATTTGTTTCCAGCATTTTTTTCCCCACCAAAGTGCTTCTAGATTTCTAGACAATGGTGTTTTATGTTGAGTTTACAGCTCTTCCTGTTGTGTATGTTGAGCTCAGACTAGCATGCTCTATTATAACAGTATTCACTGAAGCCCGTGGTGTTGTTGAGCCACAAATATAAGGCATGCTTTGGCAATAATCTGCTCTTCTGTTTCAGAATGACAGCCCTTATCATGGAGGAGTTTTTTTCCTTTCTGTGCATTTTCCCACCGACTATCCATTTAAACCACCAAAGGTAGCATTACATTCTTTATACAAATGTATGCTTAATAGTTCAACTAAAATGTAAATTATGAGCTCTATTCTTTATTTGGTCTTTGTTTATCTCCATAGGTGGCCTTTACTACAAAAATCTATCATCCAAACATAAACAGCAACGGAAGCATTTGCCTTGACATATTGAGGTCTCAGTGGTCCCCTGCTCTTACAATTTCAAAAGGTAACTAAAATTTGTATCGTGATAATTCATTACAAACCACGTCACAATAGATGTGAGAAGAAATGCTAGAATGCAAAACACTTTTAAAGGTAAATGCATTGGGCTAAACCAGAAGAGTGCTCTTTTGCCCTTTGAGAAAATTTGCTTCCATGCAGTTTTTGGGTAAAAGAAAGGGATTTGCCTGCCACAAAACGTTCCATACTAACCTTTCCTAATTTTGTACCAGCCTTGGAGATATTTTGTGCCTGCTTTGACTACTGGTGGTGTAAAGTAATTTCTTTTAATCTGCCTATTATCTTTCATTGAAACGCAATGATGGTCCTTGATATTTATAGCATTTATACTAAAGATGGGTAATTATTGTATTGTGTATCACTGTCACAAAAATGTAACTACAATTAATAATTGTGTGAATCCTGCTTTTCTAACATTTTTAAGAAAAAATTTTTCAGTATTTACAAGAGTTTATCAATAAATGCAGAATTTACCTTTTAAAATTGACTGTAGGCATGTACCTCTTAGTAACAAAGATGCACTGCTTTTTTTCCTATGGCAACATAAAGAATGCCTAAAATTTGATTTTAGAGCAATGTTGACTATTTATAAGGCTCTAGCTATGAGATGTTTTTGGTGAGACAAACTTTGAAACTAATTTTAATCATCAATGATATCATTTTTGCAATAAATGCTGCATAACCTTGTCGCAGAAACATCCAGTGCATATCCTTCATATTTCCTTCTTGCAGGATGTTGCTGAGTCATTTTTGGTTTGATGAAGGTCATAGCCTGCCTTATTTTTCTAATTTAAGAGTGACTCATCCCGAATGGGATCAGAAACCAAATTATTGAGAATGGATTGATATATAAACTAGATGACTTTTGATTTGAACTTTTTAAAATTCATTATAATTGGTACAATGAGGAAATTTCTACAATGAGAAATAAATGACTCCAATTTAATTAAACCTCTTTTTGTTTTTTCCTCCTTCCATTTTCAACCATCAACCAACTATTTCATACCCGTGTCCTAAACTCTGATATAACCATTTATCTCTCTATATGGTTAATCATTGTCATTAATAATTATGACAAATCACAATAGAACTGCTTAAGTCTCATGTATAATTTACTCAATCCTATATTTTTAGCTAATCTGCCAGTCAAAGATTAGGACATTAAAATGAAGATGTATCCTTCTGCTGGTATATAATATTAAACACACATATAATCACTTGTCTTTATTGAAAACTTTAAATACCTTTTGTATTACAGAAATTACCCATGTACCAAAAAAACAACTTTTTAATACATCAAAAATTACATCAAGAGACAGTCGGTTACTTTAGCATGAGAGCGCAGTCTTTCTTTTTTCATAATTTGTTAATTTTCAAGTTTAGGGACTCAATCAGTTGGTCCAGAGTCATTAACACTCCCAGGTGATCAGGAGACAAACTGATTAGAAAATAGAACGAGCTTTCCAAAAAATAAAATTAAAACAATCCACTGGATTTTGTTTCCAAGTTTGAAGATGTTTCGCTTCCCTGAAAAAGAAACTATTACCTGGATGACTGAGAACCTTCACCAGAACAAGCTTTCTCTTCCCTGTTTATTTTTAAATATTCAGCATGCATTGAGAATTTAATGCTGAGATTTAGGACTTTTATTATTAAGTCAATGCTTTAGAGGTTCAGTTGTGTCACTTTGGTAGCAGAAGTACCAATGTGTGTAATACAGGGCATGCGACAGCTGCATTTAGCAGGACAGCATTCTTGTACCATTTCCAAGCATTGTTGAACTATCTGCTTTAACCGGTGACCAGTTTATGTTGGGATATAAACAGTAGTAATGTTGCATTTTGTCTTCCTGTGCGGTTGAAAGAAATGGCAAAACATATGTTTCTTAGACATACGGGCAAGTCGTAAACTGACCTGGAGGCACACTAGACACGGCTGTTTTCACACTCACCTAGAAGTTTTATGGTGAACAGAGTAGTTGGTTTGGTCTAAACTTTGTCTGCAGTTGTTGCTTTCTTAAACACTTCATAATGAGATGTTTTTTTTGTTTGTTTTTTGCTAAAACACAGCAAATGGCTCAGCAGAAATGGGATCTAGGAATTTATGTTTATCCAAACACAAATGTAAAAGATCAGATCAGATAGTCATATACTGGTGAAAATCTGCTTTTGTTTGTTTTCTGATTGGATAGCCTTAAGGAATCAAAACTAAAAGTGTTTTTAAAAATCACAGTTAAGCTAACAATAGAAAATGTTACCCTGAGATCTAAGTGTTACAAAAGCAGGGATTAAAATGTTTAGTGTCAAATGCAGCTTTAAATCTTATTTAAATACCAGAATAAAATAAACATGTATTCTAGCTCAGTGAAGATCCCAAGAAGCTCGATTGAATTTCAGACTCAAACCTTAAGGAATCCCCCAAATTTATGTAACGGCAAAGTAAAAGGTTTCCTTTAATGTCTGTTAGTCAGATTTATAAGAATAAATTGAATATGCTGAATTAACAACACGGTTAACAAAAGGCCTTTATTTTGAGCTAATTCTGTTATTTTGTCCTTTAAGTGTTGTTGTCCATCTGCTCCTTGCTTTGTGATCCAAATCCTGATGACCCACTTGTTCCTGACATCGCACACATCTACAAGGCAGATAAGCAAAAGTAAGTATTGTGGTGTTGTTTTCTTTTATTTAAACTGACAAATCCTTTTTTTTAATCCATCTACTTAATTTAAAATTTTCCCAATTTTAAGGTACAACAAACTGGCCCGAGAATGGACCCAGAGATATGCAATGTAACATGAATATATCTTGGAACCAATTACTTCCCCCAGAGCTCCTTGAAAGATGACAGTACTGTTCAACTGCTTTCTTCACACTGGTTGTAACTGAGGTGTTTAATATGCTTAATGCACTTTCTCTACTGAGGTTTTACTTGACTTAACTGTTTTACTGTTTTGGCATTATTCAAATTATTCCTTTGAATATTTTATTTGAAGTGTTGAGGTGGAGCAAATTTGTTTCTTTGAAGAGATTTGTATTTATATTTTTCATTATCTTGAAATAAAGATATTTAGCAGAATTTGAATTCCATTTACCTTTTCTTTTGTTTTAGCTGTCCACAAGAATTAAGCAAGCATAATACAAAATGTAGAATAAAGACTTTGTTTGACCGCCTTAATGTCTGTTTAATAATTTAGGTGACCACTAGATGTCATACTTTACTATGTACTAACCAAGCTTTTGTTTTAATTTTTTTTTTATGAGGTGTTTTCTTTCATCTCCTCAATACTGTTTTGTTTCATTTCAATCCATTTGCCAAATGCTTAATTTTGTGGGCTGTGGTTATTACAGTGTTCTGCTGCAGCGGTGAAATAAAAATAGAAAGGATGTTCTCTAAAATGAAATTAAAGCCTCCATTATCTTCTCCAACAGCTGTCCCACTGTGGTTGTTAAATGAGCAAACACAGATTGATAAGGTGTTCCAGTTTTCTTTGAATACGTTAAATCTTTATATTTAAGAGGGGATGCAAACATGTCCTTTAAGCTGATAAGTTTGTGAAACGTTTAATTTGATCTTATAATTTCAAAGATGGCAATATAATGTGTCATGTCATGAACAAGCATACTGAATAATGCTATTGGGATGTAATGGAACAGTTTTTTGCCATCTAATATACATGTTTTTTTTTTTCTCTGGTTTATTGGAAGCTATTTACTTTGTGTAGTTGATCTGCAAATTTCCTTTTTGATAGAGTGATTCTAACAGATTAACTTTTTATGATTTCATGCCTGTGAGAAATTTCATTTAAATTGGTTCTATTTTTTTTTTTTTTTTTTTTCTTAGAGATTTAAAGCCATGCTGTTGCAGAACAACCAAATGCTACTTGATTAGGTTGTAATTGGTAGCTAGAGGAAAACATTTTGGATTATTGCTAAAACTACTTTCTCAAAAACTTCCTTTAAATTAACACACTCCTCTTGGGATTTGATCTATTAAAGTCATGTTCTTTTTTTTTTTTTGTCTGGTGCAGTAATCCTGATTGATTGCACATGAGAAGGTCAATAAAATGTTTTAATGACGAATTAGGTCTGCAGGTTTGAACGAAAAGTGTTTTTTCTATCATTCAGTCTCAGTTATAATTCATCCCAATGGTCAAAAGTGTAAATATCCCTTAGCAAGTTTTATAAACATCGAAATGGTTTTCTGTATGGATATTTGTGGGCTTTTGGAAGAGATAATCAATTTCATATTACAGAGTAGTAAATAAATTGAGTTAAAAAGTTCATTCCAGGGGTCTGTTTTACGATACAGGTTTACTGAAAGCTTTTTTAAACCTGAAATCCGGGAAACTTGAGTTTTCGGTTTCAGGAAGATTGTTACTCAACCTCTGCTTCAGTCACCATAGTAACATTCTCCCCAGAGCTAACCTGGTTTGCAGGTTTTGTTCAGTAAACTCTGAGTGTCCTCTGTCTCTGTTCTCCTTACAGCCAATCACACAGTTTTTTTTCTTTTGTGCATTAAAAAAAAAAGTAATTCACCAGGTCTGTTCGACACATTAGGTTTTAAAAAGAATCCTTGCATGTCCATTTGACAAGGATCTTATTAAACAATGATCAGTGCTTTTTCACAGAGAATTAAATATTTATAGGGAGAGGATTCTACAACTCAGTTGACAGGATATTAGATTTATTTTCTGTGTAGTTATTCTAAGCAACATGCGGATAATTTTATTTTTATTTAGATTGCATTACATGAAGAATTACTGAAATTATTTTCAGATTATACATAAATGAATTCCACAGTGAGAAAAGGAAGTACCTTTAGGGTTAGGTTTCACTCAGTGATAACAACCTAATGAGCCTACTGGAACAATCTGAAGCCATTCTATGGGACTGATAACCGCTAATAATGACCATTTATTTGGATGATAACATCCAAAGCAGTTGCAAACAGTGATGGAAGACAGAATCAAACTGAGAACCCATGAAATGATCAATAAAAAATTTATTTTTCATCTTTACCTGCTGCCAGATGATTTCCCCTAAATAGATACATTGATCCACTACCATTCAGGAAATAAATCTGGAATGTTTTCATGATCACAACAGACTATGACCGTTTTTACTGATCTACAAATAGAACAAGAGAGAGGAGAGTCCTTTTTATAAATGTAAATACGGCCTGCCATAGACTACTTCATATAAATTAATGCATTAACTCGAGCAACAATCTTCACCTTCGCCATCTTCCTTACCTGTTTCTGTCTTTTAAACAAAATTTCCATTTTGTTTTTCATTTCTTTATTAAAATCTCCAGTTCCAGTTGGGTGAAATAGGCCTTTTGTCATGGTGACTCGTCGATATGGGGCTCCACTGATGATGGCTTTCTAAACTTGTCACACATGCGTTTAACTCTGAGTGGACCTACTTGGAGTTGATTGAAATAATTTATAGCTGCTGTTGTGAACCCGAAAACCCAGAGTTCCCAACTTTAGGCTAGATCAATTTAGAGTTGAGGATTTGATTCTGAGTTTGTTTAACCTGCTTCGTGAAACAGAACCCAGGGGTCCAATGCTGGCTGACCTTTTGTTTCTGAAACACAGTTTTGTGTGTGTTGGAGATATTTGTCTGACTGGAACTCTAAAATGTGTCCAGGTTTCAACCATCTGAGCCAAGCTGATATAACCTTGGAGTAACCTGGGATGTGCGGGAACCACCAAGCCTGAAGCCTGACCCCATTGTCCGTTTCAATAGCCAAACAATTTAGAGACCTCCATAGGCCATAATAGAGCCAGAGTAGAAGGTCCCTGCTCCAAACCTGAAAATATGTTTAAGTCGAAAAAAAGATTAACCTATTTCATCTGACCAACAAAATGTCTATAAGAACCTAAGTGAAACGTTTAAACATGCAATGACTGCCAAGTATGGTGGTGATGACATGAAGAAAACATGGAACAAAACCCAAGTTTGATTGTTGTGACCAAATTATGAAGAGTACAATCAATGAATGCACAACATATTGAGTTTGGAGATGATAGGCAACAGTGTTCATGTCAGCTAGAAAGAGGAAATTGAAGTCCAGGGGTGCTGCCATTTAGGGCCCTATGAAAGACATTGATATTCGCTGTTTAATCCTGAAATATCAGGGAAAACGTAAAGATAATGTTAACTACTGCAGGATTTTTCTTTTTATATTTGAAATATCTAGTGGGTCATATGTTTTCTTCTTTTTTGGGGCCCCCCTCAGTCAAGGGCCCTTGGAATCTTTCATGAATGTGATGTGCAGCTGGTAAAATCAGGAGCATCTGCATAATGTTATGTCAGTATAGATGATCACAGGGATTTCTGTATCTTGCTCCAAATGTGCCCATAGTCCTCTTTCTGCATTAGTTCCCTGCATCAATAATAATAAAAAAAGTTTAATGTTTCCTTTTTATTAATGTAACCTAAAACTTCCAAATGCAGTAAAGTTTTTTGATGCAAAGTGGCTTTAATTGCTTATTCCACATTGTGTATGAAGTTGCTCAGCCAGGAACAGACAAATGAAATTCAGCGTCTTTCTCGGAACCAGTAACAGTCTGGAGATCTTCTGGACTTGGAGGGAGGGGAAGTCGGTTTTCTAAAAGTTTCTGGGAGGAGTCTGACACGTGAAACTTTGCCGAGGAGCTGTTTGGTATGTGTGCTGGTAGTGGCTCCGTTAACTCTGCAGACTGACCAACTTCAGAGAGAGGCTCACTGCGCTGCTGTTGCCTATTTTTAGAAGTCTGTCCAATGGAGGAAAAACGAAGGGACTTAAACTAACCAGGGAGGAAAAATTATATTACAAAAAAAAAAATCCTGACTGCCTCAGAATGAGCACACACAAAGCCTCGGAGTAAGGGAATTCAACAACCTAACAGACGGCTGTGTTTTCTATTTATTTAACTCTACTTTAAAAGTCAAATTGCTGTGGCCCCTGGAGAAAGTTGCGCGCTGCGCCATGGCTGCCCAGTGCGACCCTCTGAGCGGATACTTGCAGCAGCAGCAGCAGCAGCAGTCAGACCAGGGCTCCAACAGCGAGCGCAGCACCGACTCCCCTCTCCCCGGATCAGAGGAGGACCTTAGCGGCCCCCATCCACTGCCAGACCCGGAGTGGACAGAGGAGAGGTTCCGGGTGGACCGTAAGAAGCTGGAAATCATGTTGTTAGGTAAAAAAGTTACCAAAATATCTTCATTTAAGGTGATATTTTCTGCTTTCAATTATAATCAAGCTTCACATATTTGTTACCAAGCAAAGCGAGAGGTTTTTTCCAAGTCTAAAATAAAAGTTTAAATATTTTTTTTTTAGTGACAAACATACTATATTATAGTATATAAAGTTTATATATATATAAAGTCAATCCTTCATTGTAAATGTAAAGAATAAATGAGAAATTCAGACTATGAATGCAATGAATGCCATGTGAATTTTACGCAGTGCGTATAAGTAAACAAAATAGCTGACAATGCAAGATTGTTTTGGTCTAATGTATCTAAATACTCCTTCAAACTTAAACAATAGGTTGAAACAGTAAAAGTTCTCTATTACATTCATACAGACCACAAGGTGTCGCTACACAAGCTCCTTTTTTACCTTCTAGTGTGTAGACTAAACTGAAATTGACCTGAACATTCAGTTTGCTTACTTTTCAACTGAGGAGTCTACATGTAAAAACAACTGATGCAACAGGCTTGGCTCATCTCAAAGATTTCTTCCTCCATACTGACTTCTTGACTGTTGCTGAAACAATTGCTTAAAACATGATGGATTCATGCTGAGCTCCTGGAGTAAAAACAAAACAAAACACAAGCAAACAAAAAATATAGTATTTACGCAGTAATATTAAAACAGAAATGAAAAACACAAAAGGAAAAAATAAATCCCTCCTATTTCTGTATTGTGATTGCCCTGTGTCACAGTATCAACATATGCAGTATGGCAATGAATAAGATTGCTTTAAGGGAAAACATGTCGACTAAAATAATGCAGGGCCGTACATCCAAACCCTGCTTAATTGACTGAACTTTGTTTTTTATGTTCACGTCTCATGATGGTACTGATTGAGATGCTAAAGCCCGAGGAAGGCAAAGAAAGAAAATTGTAATAACAACATTAAAAAAATAATAATATAGTTTTTTTCAGTTGTAATAATATATTCCACATGTAAAATAAAGAGTAATGACCTTCTAAACTTTTTAAGGGAATCTTGTGCATAAAAGTATTCCGTTTGGTTATTTTGCTACAGAATAACACAAATGTAATAAATTCTTATTAGCTGTGTAATTCAACTTTTTATTTGTCCATGTAGCATTCTTGCAATAAGCTAGTGCTTGCTTTAAAATACATTGCATTCATAAAAATAATTGGTGGGATCCCCACAGCATGGTGGTGCCATTGCCGTGTTTATATCAGTAACCACACCATAGCTGTCCATGTTTTTCACAAGAGGGGGTTTTGATTAATTTTCTTTATGTTTCTTGTAAGCCAGGTAAAGGTTAGTAGCCTTCTGTTAACAAGTGGACATCAAGAAGTGAAGCAGGGGCATTAGAATATACCGCTCAAGAGAGACACTTAGGCTTTACTTCTCATTACCAGGACTTAAAAGTGGAGGATCTGTATAGGGGAGAGATTTAGCAGTTTTCAAAAACATTCTTTTTTCTTTGAATATGAAAAAGTAATTATCATTAGTAGCAACTGCACATTGATGTGGAACAAATAAGGCAGACTTAGACTGTAATTCTTAAATAGTTCTTGTGCGTCGTTAAACAGATCCCCCACCGGAAAGGCTGAGTTAATCTGGTCGTTCATTTCAAAACATATGAATGTGTCATATTTAAGTGTTTTGCTGGGTGTGCTGACCTGTGGAGTAGATCCACAGGAGTTCAGCTAAACTGAGCTTGAAGCTATTTTTTGTGTCAAAAGTTTGTAGAACAGAAAACCTAAAAATGTATTGTTTCGACATTGATTGCACTTGATTTGAAATGTGCTCTATAAAATGTGGTTAAAAGTTCCCATTAGTGAATCTGATAGGGTTTTGCAAATCATTCGGTCTTATGTGGAACACAGACACACACAGACAGATGTGTCCATGCACACATGTGGCTCTCCTTGAGAATGTCCTGGTGGTTGCCTCTCTGCGCTGTACATTCCTCAAAGCTCCATGTCATCTCGAACTCTTCCAGGAAAACAACTTAAGCAGGGGCCGGCCCCGAGTCGGAGTCCTCCGGACATACCATGCGCCACGTCACGCCAGCTTACCCAAACATGTCTGTTTTTTTAGTTTTGCATCTGTGTATGTGAAGTGATGTAGCTGTTTGGGGGGGATCTCAACAGTTTTTCAGTTTGTCCTCCTTGTCTTTTTAAATGTCTCTCCTTCTCTCCTTCTAACAACTTGTTTCTCAATCTTGTCTTTATGACATCATGGCTGACACGGCTTGTGTTGACATTGCAGTTTAGATGCGGAGTGGAAACGTCTGCTGTGCCTTAGTGGCTGGTCTGCCTGGTGGCTCAGAGTTTCAGACTATCTCATCCTTGAAACTGCTTTAGCTTTTGACCTATGCCCCCCGCAGCAGCTAAGAGGATTGGGTGTTTATGCATGTCTGTTATGGTTAAATGTCAGCAGATGCTATATAATGGAACAGTGTTGAGTTTCGAAAAATTATGGAATCAGAATTGCTCTGCACATGTACATTCATTTCGTAACAAATGATTCCTTCAGCCGCATGCATGACAAAGCCCTGAAACACTTGGCTGTGCTGTATAGGGTATAGATATGAGCTATTTTATAGGAGTTCCAGTATATTTTTATACCCACTGTTAGATTGGCTGTAACAATCTGGCTGCTCTGTCTTTTCCAGTAAATTAACAGTGACTCCAGCTTCAATAATTAGCTAAAGGGCATCATGCTGTAATCCCTCCTCACACAACAGTAATTTAAATTGCTGTTAACCAGGTAGCCTGTCTTTGTTTGTGTTTTCTAAGCCACAAGAACCATTTAGTTTGGAATTGAAATATATTCCAAATGCTACTGTAAATAATGAAACCTTGCTGGAAATTGCAGTCCAAAAAAACAAAAAGGCAAAAGGCAAATATTATTCAATTGTATATAACTTACATTACTGAATATAGTGCATGATTGTTTGTTGAAGTAACAGGATAATAATTGTCATGATAGTAGTCTAAACAGTAGGCATATTTAGAATAGAACAGAATAGAAAATCCCTTTATTGTCCCATAATGGTGAAATTCTGGTGTTTATAGCAGCAAAAAGATGATAGAAAAAATTGTCACACAAATATGGACCTTAAAAAATGTATATGAATAACATAATAGTGAAGAGTTAAAAGATAAACAAAATACTGCACTGTAAAGTGTTATAAAAGTATAAAAACTGTGCACCTGGAGAATAAATAACCAATATTGATCAATACAGCTATGTAATGTACATTTTTCAGTAATGGATATTTGAAAATAGTAGCAACATCAGATATGTGAAAAATGACAGCAGCATGTTATTTAACTGACTAAGGTAGAATCTGTTCAAAACTGTACTTTACTTTGTCACCTGTCAATAAGATGCACATTCAGTTCAGGGTCATTTTTCGGGTTAGGGCATAGAAAGGGTCAAAAATGGAAAGTCAATGGGAGTCAACAAATGGTCCTCACTACATATAGCAAGACAAACATATTTGTATATGTCTGATATTTGTGGTTAACCTTCACATTACATAGACTTCTATCTTATTTGTCTACCATAATGATGCCTTTAATTCTCCTTATGAGCTTTAACAGTTATGTAGACTGGTTCTAAATCAGATGCAGGTATCAAGGGTATTAGTCCATCTCCATTTAAAGGGTCCCTTATATTGTTAGCATGCAGAGTTTGATTGCATGATCTTCTAAATATTACATCCTAGCAATCTGTTATAGAGGATGATACCGCACACATTGATGTTTCAGTGACCGTTGTTTTTCAATGTGTTGTTTACCTCTGTTATAAATACAGCTGTTCTGTAAAGGCTTCAGAGATACGTTGAAGACACTTGATTAACAAACATCACATAGATCCCGGAATACAACAGGCAAGGCAGGAATAAAGTTTGTTAGGTAGGGTTAAGCTTAAAAATAAAATAAAAACAAATACATGCCACACTTTTTAGTATTTGATTTGACTCTAAAATATATATGTTTTGTATAATTACTGATCGCTGAATCTGAAATAAGCAAGCTTGTTTAATGTCAAATCTAATTTCTCTTACAACCTTTGTCCAAGTATGTGATTTTTTTATGGGTTGATGATGTGATTTGGATAATTGCAAATCTGATCTTATCACCAACTTTCGAAACATTTATATTTATATATCCTGTAGAAATAGACAGTGAATCAATCTTAATTGCTGTTCTTAGAGGATGTGTATAAAAAGTCCAACATGATCTTTAAAGCTTAGTAAGCAGTGTTCCCTTTACAGAAGAAAGTTGTTGTGTATGCGATAAGCATACTGTATGTACGACCCATAAGCAAATCCACTTCAGTTTGATCAGTGTGTTTCTACTTGGAGTCATTTCACTTCATTGCTCTTCTTTGGAGTCATTTCACTTCATTGCTCTTCTTTGGAGTGATTTCACTTCATTGCTCTTCTTTGCTGTGTTTTGTACCTGCTTTGCTAATTTGATAATTATAAAATTATTTTATCTACTCTGCTCATTGCCTGCTAAAAAGAAATCTGATGGAATCCGAGGTCAGCATTTCACAAGTGAGTCAGTTATTCACCAGAATCAGAGATCATTGGCACAATGGAAAAAGGTGCTTATTGTTATTTACAAACTCAATTTTGGGAAGATATTTGCACTTTGATCACTATTTTTCTATTTTCGAAAAATTCACACAACTGTTATGGTAACTTTCACATTTTAGTAATAATTGCTAAAAGAGATTTAACACTTAGACATACAGGTTGTGTTCTTGTCTTATTTTTTTGTTTTACAGTGATTTTATTGCTGTTGATTTTTACCTAAGCCAACAGGTATGGGGACATTTAAGTCCCCATGGGTTTTTGTGACATGGAAACTGAAATGTTGTGTGTAACGATCTTGGTTCTGTTGTTTTTCTTTAAGTTTTCTGTTTCAAGTTTAGCCAGGTTTTTCATTGTTTTCTAGCTTTTTTGGTGT